ACAGAATACAGTTCACTCAACAATCCAGAAAATATTACTGGAAACTTTCACGAAACCCTATAGATGGTTCTTCATTAGGCCAGGTATTTTTGGTAGTCAATCATTGTATAATCACAAACAAAATACATCAAATTAGGTGAGAACATCGTTCTTCTAACCATCAAGTGCAACTTTGCAGTTTCTGTATACCATGGTGATGGTTCTGTCAAATATTTTGAATTTTATCCCAAAAGAATCATTGGAAACGAGTATTCAATATTTGAATTCCTGTACAGCTATTATGACAGTTCCCAATTTGACACTTTATCCAGGAGATCGATTGTTCTTCTGAATGACCAGGTGGCTACACCCTACCCAAAGCGTTTTGAGCTATGCACATTGCCCTTTTTATTTTATTCATTTAATTGAAAATAATTATCATTATTATTATATATTGATTTTCTCTATAATACATCTATGTTCCTCCTGCTTAGTGGTGCCCGCGAGAGTGTCGTTTTCGAGAGTCTCGCATGGTCTCGTCTCGTTTTCGAGACAAGACTCGAGACGAGACTCGGACAAGACAAGACGAGACATTTATTAGTCTCATCTCGAGTCTCGTGCAAGACTTCTCGTGTCTCGTGCGAGAGTCTCGCTGGTAAATATTTCTGCGTGGCGCCTGCAGACTTGAGAATTTCATTCATAATACAACATATTTAGGAAGAATTCAGACTATTTAGCACAGATACACAAAACTTTTCATTCATAAATACTTTAAAAACACAATCCATGATTGTTTTGAAACGACGTAATGCGTGAAACGAAAACTGACTATTCTCTCTCTTACGGCGGAATAATGTTGGCTTAAAGTTTTTGTTTTGTATACGTGTTACTCTTTATTTTATTTTCATAACTTTCGAATATATATTGCTGTGTTTTTTTTTCATGTTTAGATGTATGATGTATGACGACGTACCTATTATGAATTGTTCTGAAATTGTTCTATCCGTCATTCGGTTGCCCCCTTACGAGCAACCCTCAGAAGTCTTCGAGAGTCTTGTGCGAGCAAGGAATGACGGGGGCCTTACCTTTTAACCTGTGATCCCAAACACTTTCTTGGGCCATCAGAAAAATTTCTGCAGTCGATGGGAATCGAACCCACGCCCGCAAGCGAATGCGGATTAGAATATTGGCACACTTTTCAATAAAGAATGTAATTTTTGATGTAATTTTCTTTTCCTACTTCTACATCTACATCTACATCTACTTATATCTGAAAAGTAGGTAAAGGTAAATAGCCCATACTAGACTGGAACAAGATTATGCATGACGAAATTGCGATACATTTGCGAGACTCTCGTACGAGACGCGAGACAAGACGAGACTCGAAGCTGCGAGACGAGACTCGAGACAAGACTCCATATTTCATCGGCGAGACGAGACGGGACTTTATGAAAGTCTCGTCTCGTTGGTCTCGTGTGAATCACTTCTTCTGCTGATGATGGACTGTATAATAGTATATATAATATGATAAAACATGTTCCGATAATCGTTTGATTCTATAATATTATGAGGGAAACTTGTACGTCTTGCTTCATGAATCATTTTCATTCCACTTGTCCCATGATCCTAATGACCTAGAAGCGCTAAACCCAATACATTTTCTCACCTATAACTAGAGTAATTGTATGAATCTGGTCTGCATATAGTTTATCCTATTTCAAGCAACTCCAGCATTGTATTCACAGAATTTTTTTCCAATTTTCGAGTTGGTACTCTGATGCTCTGGAGGAATAGTGATTGTACGCCTATGTGTTGGAAGCTGAGGAGAATCGTAATCATCCAAAGTGTATGTGTCGATCTAAAACCACATGTTCCCAAGGATTTAGCTAAGATATGCAAGGTTTTGTCGAGGGGGAAGGAACAGGTGAACGTCTGATAATATGCATCAACCTGCAATTTCATTCCCATTTCTTGTGTATATGTATATGTCGGTGTCAATTAGTGAAATCCGTCATTCCCCATTCTGTCAAACAGCGTAACTTCCATTTTCAGCCGTTACTCTGTTTGCCGGAGGGTTGAGGAAGGACAATATCCTTTCTGCATATGCAAAAGAAGGAAACTATTTTTCCGCCTAAATGAACCTTCTTCCTAGAAAGTGTTATGAAGTGTTTTCGACCAGCTTCATTACTAGACTGGTTTTGATTAATATCTAAGTAACCTGAGACTGATTCTACTTGAATTTCACTTATTCGAAAGCTCAAAACCTGAAAACCTGAGAGAGCTAAGTAATTCATTGATTCCTGACTTTCCATAGCTTTTCCTGATAGTAAACTCTGATGAACATCATTACGACCCTAAAGGCTTCAATATTTTTCAACCCTTTGCTTATGATATGAAATTAGATGAATTATCTATCTGTTGAAATGCTTGATGTTTGACTGCTCATAACTTTGTTGTTATTGAATATTTTCCAGACAAATTCATCCAGTAGCATGAGCAAAAGTAGTAGATCCTGTTCCTGTGCCCATTTAGGGTTGAATATTATTTTTTCCGCGTTTTGTGTTGGAGGTGCACATGTGCTTTCCAAGGACAGATCTAGTGGCCATGGCCATGAGCCATGACAAGGTGGGAGTTTTGACCAATGAGATTCCAGATTTACTTGTCCTTGTGCCAAGGCCAAAGCAGTGTATGAATACTGAAGACAGCCAAGGATTCTGGGCTCTCTACTCTTCTGCACAAGTCTGCACTACCCGCTCGACCTGCTCTTCAAGCTCTTGATTCTCTTGCTGATCTTTTAGTGCTCTCATAGTTCATTCAAAACCAGTGTGAAGTATTATTGTATAGTGATTTCCTGTTACACATGTAAGTTTGTATATTGTTCACCATTATTATTCATCCTGTTCATAGATTCATTTTATTCCTGTTGTTTTTCATACCGATACTCACCCGACCTGTGTAACGAATCCCGAAAGTTGTAAAGTTGTATTTGCGAATAAACGGTTTTTCTGATTGCATATTTCAGATTTCTTTCTCTGTTGTCATTGTTTTCAGTTCCGAATAGTTCCACTAATTTATTTACTGATTTTCAATATTTTCATTTGTCAAAATTGCAGATTATCATTATTGACTGACGACTGACAATGACAAGCCAGTTGTAAATTCTTCTTCTTCTTTTCCTCGAGAAATCCTGTCCTGTGCATCCGGGTCTCTGTGCTTTGTGTCCCGTCAGACGGTGATCTATGTGTCATGAAATCTTGACATGAATGCACGAATGGAAAATATAATTGACCTCACTAAAATTCCGATATTAGAAAATTAGAAAATCCAAGGAAAAGAAAATATAAATAGGAATTGAAGCTGTGTGATTCGTTTGGAACTGTGTTTCCGATTCTTCAGGTAGAAATGATGAAATAGTTTGAATAAATAGTTTTCCAGACCTAACCCTAAAATACCGGAGACCTGAAAGATAATTTGTTTTGATTCCTGTAATTATACCGACTAAAAACAGCAACCAGTATTCCAGGATAAACCCAGGGTTTGTAATCAAAGCCTACACTCCCTTGGCTACTTATTGATTCCAGGTCGATTCAATACCATTGACCCATGGTTTATACTGTAGGTACCGAGGTAGGTATACCTCCTGTACCTTTCTCCACTGTTGCTTCTTTGGGCCTCTGTACAAAAAATATATTGTGCGGGGCAGGTAGAGTAAACTACCTCAAAAACAATCTGGCGCTCGAGAATCCCCCCCCCCCCTGTCAAATACCAGAGTAGTCTCCTGTCCTGAACAGAGCGTCAAAGTAAGGGCCGCAGAATGAACCCCTTACAAAAGCATATTTTTCAGAAAATTACTTGAGAGAACAGAAGAGACTACTGCTTCTAAGCAACCTGAGCTGACTCAGCCTAAATGAACCTTCCTTCCGTCATTACAGGGAATGCCTGAAACTGTTAGGCAAACAGTGTACGGAATTTAGAGTAACGCTGTTTACCGGCAATACGTGAAATGACTAGGCATTCCAGAGAATGACATATTTCACTGTTTGACGCCGACATATACACATCAGACCGTTCAAACCTCAGATTTAAACGGTTCTCTAGTATAGCTTCGATGATCTCACCTCCTTATGGAGAGAAGGAAGGAATTTTGTTCCAACATGTCCGATGGTGCTAGACAGGACGAAGTAGCGGGGATAGTGACCGATCTAGAACACTTATTAGAGTTAATACAAATTCCTTTATCTCTAGGAGCGACCGAGAGATTGATGATAAAACACCAAAGCACTAGCGTAATAATAGTACATTTCTATGGAACAGCAAGCCTCCATTATATCCTCCAGATATCAAAGTTAAAACTTAGGAGACTCTATAAGTCAATCTGACATTCGCGAAAGTCAAGCCGTGACGTGACGTAGATTTGCTGGTTTTTCATTAGTCTAACCTTTTCAGTTTGCTGTGGATCCTGAAAATTCTGAATCTGTGATTGGTCGAGTGCCGTTGAATAATGAGTTGGGATCCACGGTGTCGCGGAATCATCTTCATTCATCAATTACTAACCTATATGTAATCAATGTAGAATACGATAGTCGTAGAGAAACAATATTCTTTCATGCCATCCTGTATTCATTAGTATTTCTTATTCGAATAAACATTCTCAATGAAAACAATCCCCCCACTCTTTTTTGACAAAAATACCTGTGAATGAAGTACAGTTCATGACACTTGAGGAATGAGCAACTGAACATTGGTTTTCATTCAAGAAAACCAAACAGGATCTTTTCTCATTCCTACACAGACTGAAACGAGAAGATATCCCCAGTGTTCATCAGGACACACTAGGGTATTTTTTCATGGCATTCTGCATCCATGAGTCTTTTTCATTCGAAATAATGTGTGCAATTAAAATTAATCACTCCTCTTGTGTCTGAATACACTTGAGAATAGAGTGGGGTTCATGAAACTTGAATTATACTCAACACTACACATTGGTTTACATCTGAGAAATCTTCCTCATTCCTTTACAGGCTGAAACGCGAAGATATTCCAAGTGCTTGCTATGATAAACTAGGATGTTTCGAAGCATCTGGTCCGTTCGGATATCTAGACACTCTTCCAAGCAAACCAGAAGAAATAGATACCAAATTCTTGATGTTCCCGGGTAGGCGAATGAGAAAGAGTGGTTCACCGCCTGCAGAAGTGCCTTTCGAAAAATTAGATGAAGCATTCGAGTGGGCCAAACAGGGATTCAATAGCAGCCTTCCCACCAAGGTCCTCATCCATGGTTTTGGCAGCGATTGCAGCTACATTTGGGTGTATGAAATTAGGAGTGCCCTCATGGCTGTGGTGAGTATATGAATATCATAATATATTTATTTTCTAGTGAAATATAACAAGAAGAAAAAGTACAATAGATTTTTCAGGTCGTAGTACAAGGTTTCAATAAATGATCAAGCATCGTAGTAGCCATTGAAATAATGCCGCTCTCTGTCTATTATGTTTACAGGTATTCTAGCGATCGAATGTGTTATAATTCAATCAATCAATCAACTTCATTATTCCCAAGAAACAACATTTGTTTATAGCAGGGTACATGGTGAATATATAAATATATTCGACAAAATGAACAAGACAGGAAAATAAGACTCACACTCAAGGAGAAATATTTTTTATTCAAGTTCAACTGAAAATGATTCTTGATTGACTCAGCTGTTAGGTACCCAATAGAAAACTATAGTAGTTGTACGAGGAAACTATAAAAATGAGATAAGATGTCAATATTACAGGAGTAGATGTTTCTTGAATTTCATAAGTGGAAAGCGGCAGATCAATAAAATATTTCAGCGGTCACTACGATGCTTTTAGAGATACCCTCTGTATATTCACCCCACATACATATAACATCTCCCGGCTGGGGAAAACTTTTCCTTCAACTACATCTCGAATGGTCTGCGTATGACTGCAGATCAGGAAATATTCCCCTCTGATAATTAATATAATGAAGGTTAATGTTGATTCAGGCATTCCAGATCCAGATCGACTAAGAAAATATACCATTTCGGGTTTTCAATAATAGTAGGGAGATGGTCTCTGCAGGCAGAAAGGTCCATCTGATCATCTCTAGCGGTATCTGTCGGTACTCAGTATGAGTGGATTGATATAAAAAAAGTGGAGCAAAGTTAGTGCTATGACGGCAGATAGACGTAACGCATCTTTTGTTACGGGTTTTTTTTTTTTCGCCGAGGTGGTTGAAATCTTTTATAGACATCATATGGGTCCAATCCCCCATATGATAGTGTGGGAGTCCCCTCCATGGTATACCCACTAAACACTCCACCCCGTTGTAGGCTCCGACGACACTTAGGCCTAGTGGCCCATTGTATCTCACCTACATGCCGTTATCAACTTTACCACATACGACTCATGGTGCCTATTAAGGGCCACTTCAATATGAAATACCCTTTTCGTTCAGGTTCCTGAAGATTGCTCTTCCGATTCCTGTTCTCGTCTACGAAGAAGGCCAAAAGTTTTCCTTCTCCTACGAGTGACGGGGGAAGGGGTTGGTCCAGCCCTGTGGTGCCCCCTGCACAGGGCTAAGGCTGTTTACTCTGGGATGTCGCCCTGTTTTCCAGAGGCCCCGTTAGCGACACCATTCCTCGGTGCCATCCATCCATCGCCACGGGTTCCCACAGCTTGGATTAGGTTGCCAGAGCCTCGTTGACCAGTCCTCGACCACCTAGACAAACATCAGCAAATCGCCCCATCCCTGCCACAGATGTCCACAAATTGTCCCATCTGGCAAAAAATAGCAAAGATTGTCCCAAAATGCTTCATCTGTCAAGCGGCCGCGGCCTGCCTTCCCCACACCACTTGATGGTGAGGTTGGGCTTGGAGGGGAAGAGGAAAAGAGAAGTTGGCCAAGAAAGGCCGATAGAAAGAGTGAAAACGGAAGAGAGAAGAGGATATCACCCAAGACAAGTTGAAGTATGGTGAATATCCGGCTAGGGTACCTCGGGTTCACCATTCCCGTACTCACAAGTTGTGAGCCCCTGAGGGGATTGCCAGAGCCTCGTTATCAATCCGCGGCCACATAAGCAGATGTTCACAAATTGCCCCATCCTCGCACTCAGATGTCCACAAAACTGTCCCATCTGAGTGATGGTAGCAAAGATGTTCCCAAAATGCTCAATCTGCCGAGCAGCCGCGGCTTGTCCTTCCCGCACTATGGTGAGGTTGGGATTTAGGGGAGAAGGAAAAGAGGAGAAGTGACCAAGGGAGGCCGATGGAGAAAAAAATTGGAAACTAAAGAGTGAAGAGGATACCATCAAAGACAAGTTGAAGATTAATGAGTATTGTTACGGGGGTGAAATTTGTTTAATGCTAATCGACGTATTATTCGAAAATTTTATGAAGTTTGAAATGGACCATTTGCTGCATTCTGCCTTATTTGTACCGTAAAATCAAGACATTTGAAACTAAATGATATTACAAATGAAAAGTTATTACAGAAAAAAGTTATACAGGTGAAATTGATCTTAGGGTTATGAGACTGAGGCAAGCTCTAGCAGAGTTGAATTATACAGAGTAGTTACATCGAAAGATATTGCCAGAGCATCAACCAAGAAGGTGGAACGAGTAATTATTTTTAGTAGAGAGCCGAAGGAAGAGCTTAGGTGAAAAATACGGAGGCTTGCTTCCTCGACCACACAATCGAAGATTTGAGAGCTTTAGTATACATCCTTTAGAATAAAAATAATATCGTTCACAATTTTAATGAAAAAGCACCAATATATCAATTTCAAGCAAGTACTCCTGCAGCAAGAGCAAGTGGATTCAATAAAGTTGTAGTGAATCAATTCTTCTCACTGCTGTTGAAAGTTGTGGATGAATTCAAATCGAAACCAGATGCTATTTTATCACCACTCCGGAAAAACTTTTGGACGCCTCACAAATCAATGGATATCAAGTGAAGGGGAAGGTTGATTCCGGCAATGTAGAAACCAGCAAAAACACTGAAGAAACACTAAACACAAATATAAAGAGCGTGATGAATCAATCAGATATGAAAAATGTTTTTTCTGATGAAGATATTGATGAGGCAGAATGCTGATATCGCCATCATCAATATTCTGAATCTATATGGAAAGTAGGATCGAATGTTTCAAATGCACACCAATTTGCACATTGTTGCGCTGATGGGTTCGAAAATGGGGACGATGAAGATAGCTTAGCTTTTTTTTTATATAGATAGCTTTTATCCAGGTAATAAGTATTGTTGACATAATATTTTTTTTTATTATTATTATTTCGTAGACAGTCACCTAAGCCTAGCTTGTATTGTTCATAGTCTATGAATTGATTATAACTTCAATTCACAGCTAATAAACATTTTTAGAAGAGGTAGGTAATAGAAAAATCTGACAATATGTTTACAATAAAACTGACAAATAAAAACAGACAATGTTCAAATATGGTGAAATATGATTATCAGCAATTCAAAAATTCTTTCAAATGAATCATAATTCTCATCTATGTATTATTTTATCTCTTTTTTCAACTTGTATTTATTCTTTATATTTTTAAAATTTATCGGTAGAATGTTAACTAATTTTGGTCCATAGTCGAATATGAATTTCTGTGTATAGCCTTTAGAATATAAAGGAATGCGTATTGCAAGATTGGCAGTAGTTCTGGTATTGTATGTGTGTGTGTTAAAAGTTATTGGAGAATTCAGTGTCCATAGTATACTATGATATACATATAGTTTCCTTACATCAAATAAACCGGTTTCTGCATATAGTTGAATATCTGCGATTTTTTTTGAAAAGAATTTTTAATAAAGTATTTTGAATAACTTGAATATTATTCAACAAAGATTTACTCAGACTACCCCAAATTATTATGCAGTACCTTATCACTGATTCTGCCAAGGCATCGTATATCATGAAAAGTAATCTTGAGTTTGCGATATTTCGTGATTGGTAAAATTTATAAATTAATTTATACAATCTCCTCACAGTATATTTCATATGTTCAGTCCAACGGAGATGCTGGTCAACCATCATTCCAAGATATTTTATGTGCTCAACCTTTTCAATTTCAGAGCAGGTACAGTCAAAGTTATTGCATTCTTCATTGTGAATTTTCAGAAATTTGTTTTTTGGTTGATCTCTAGCAGTAGCAGTGAAAGTAATACAGGGTGATTCATTGGGAAATGCGCATAGAGTAAGGGTAGACGGAGGACACCGAGGTGCTTCTAAATAATATATATTCAATGAGTCTATCATTCTTCGTAGCTGAGATACAGGGTGATTTATCAATTTTCTAATTTTTTTCAATTAATCATAACTTATGAACCACCCTATACATTTTTGTGATATTTGGTGGACATGTTCTTTGTCCACAGATGTGTCGATTGACATAATGAGATTAAGTCTCATTCCAGGTCCGGCCTTAAAAAAATTAATAAGTAGGTTTTGAGTCGAAACAACACCCTGTATATCAATATTTTGGAATTTTATTCACAAATTTGAAGAGAACAGGAAAAAATAGGTGAAACTGAATGTATTTGGTGTTTTCGCATACAACTTTTATACCTATTAACTTGAGTCAGATCTAGATGTTTCGATAATGAGGTGGCACAAAATTGAAAAAAAAAAAATAATTATCGTCCCAAAATGGTACTTTTCCATTTTCAAACCATGAAATCATCAACTATTTCTCACTCTCCTAATTTTTGATTCCCAAGCTGATTAAAAAACGAGAGGACAGGTCCGTATTTGGGACACATTATTATTATCAATGACTAACTATAAACACCTTGTATGTGCAAGAAAATTGTCGTAACATTTGTTTATTGCCCTACATTTGAAACAACAATTATCATGGAAATAAAGAACAATGCCCATTTCGGAAAAAACATAATTTATTTCGAACAAAAATGTCGTTGCAACAAATTGTATCGAGTTAAACAAAAACAATAAGATACAAAGAAAATTCAACAGCATAACTTATAACAGTTGTTCGAAGTGGCCTCCATTTCGCTCAATACATTTCCGTGCTCTTAAAGTTAGATTTGAAATTGACTTCCTTATCATAGTTGGCTCATTTCTCAGCACGTTGCATGCGTCCTCAATTCTCCTTAGGTGGTCCCCTCTAGTGTTAACCTCAGTTGAATAAACTTTCAATTTCAAATAACTCCAAACATGGTAATCGAGTGGATTAAAATCTGGGCACATTGCAGGCAAGTTGTGAGGTCCTCCTCTGCCTATCCAATGATTCGGGAAGTTGTTATTTAAGAACTCTCTTACTATCACCCTGAAATGAGGGCAAGCCCCATCATGTTG